AAATGAATATAAAAGAGATTATTACCCTCATTTTATAGATGAAGGAACTTGCTCAGAAAAGTGAACTAACCTAAGACCATAAGCTTATGAGAGGCAGAACCAGGACTCAAATCCAAGTGTTCCTGGCTATAACACCTATGACCATTTTTTCCTAATGTTTATTATAAAACTTTCAAACACTATAAACTTCAAGAAAATTGTACAGTGAACACCTATACACCCACCTCTTAGATTCTACATTTTACTGTATTATTTTATCACATGTATTTTCATCTATCTGTCCCTCATCTGTCTTATTTTTTATTCATTTCAATGTAAATTGTAAACATCTATAATCTTTTTTAACAGCTTTATTGAGATATACTTCATATACAGTACAATTTACCCATTTAAAGTATACAGGTTGATGGGTTTTAGTATATTCACAGATATATGCAACTATCACCATAATCCATTTTAATCAACCACCACCACATTTTCCTCACCCTCCAGTCTTTCCAACCCTGCCCCAGCCCCTGGCAACCATTAATCTTTCTGTTTCTGTAGATTTGCCTATTCTGAACATTTCATACATGTGGAATCATACAATTTGTAGTTCTTCTGACTGTCGTCTTTCAACTTACCATAACATTTTCAAGGCTTATCCATATTGTAGCATGTGTCATTACATCATTTCTTTTTCTTTCAAAATAATATTCCATTTTATGAATATACCACATTTTATTTATCCATTCATCAGTTGATGGACATTGGGTTGTTTCCACTTTTTGGCTGTTAGGAATAATGCTGCTATGAACATTTGTGCATGAGTTTTTGTGTGGAAATAAGTTTTCATTTCTCTTTGGTGTATATCTGGAATGGAATTTATGGGTCATATGATAACTCTATGTTCAGCTTTTTGAGCAACTGCCTGTTTTCCAAAACAGTTGCTCTATGTTATAGCCCCACCATCAATATACCAGGGTTCAAATTTCTCCATGTCCTCATTAGCACTTGTTATTATCTTCTTCTGTATTCTAGGTCCATAATCTTTTTATTACACCCCTCCTCCCATTGACTCCACCTTGACATCAAGCTCCAAACCATCATGTCAGTGTAGTACTGTCCAGCCCCCTTTGTTGCTATGTGGTTTGGATCAGCTATAGGCCTGCGTCAGATTTCTTACTTATAAAGGAAGTTAGCCTATCTGGGCTCCTTGAGTAGTTTCAAAGTGACATCATAGTGTAGAGGTTAAGAACTTGGGTTTTAACGTCAAACAAACCTGGATTCAGATTCTCGCTCCTCTGCTTAATTTCTGTGTGTCCTTGGGCAAGTCACTTTGCCTCTCTGAGCTTCAGTTTCCTCATCTATAAAGATAATACCTATCACCTTCTTGGGGTTGTGAAAATGAATTTGCATAGTAGATACTGAATAAATGGTAGCTGCTACTGCTGTTAGTTTTTAGTCTATTCTAACAGTATGTGTGAGGCTTATTAATATCAAATAAGATTCCCCAATATTCCTGAAGGGCCTGAAAGACTGTACAATTTGTGAGCCAAGAAGTTAGATGGTAACCTATGGAATACGTGCCAAAGATGTCATATGGGTCTACTTTCATCAGCATGCAGGCTGGTTGCCACTACCACCATGTTCCCCTCCCTGCCACTCAACATGAATCCTTAGCTTAGGGGAGATACTTGATACCAGGCCCAGCCCTTCCCTTAAATTCCAGGGGACTAACACATTGAAACACTCGTTTTAAAAAGTCTCTAGGGCCGGCCCCGTGGCTTGGCGGTTAAGTGCGTGCGCTCCGCTGCCGGCGGCCCGGGTTCGGATCCCGGGTGCGCACTGAGGCACCACTCCTCCAGCCATGCTGAGGCCGCGTCCCACATACAGCAACTGGAAGGATGTGCAGCTATGACAGACAGCTGTGTACTGGGGCTTTGGGGGAAAAATAAATAAATAAAACCTTTAAAAAAAATAAAAAATAAAAAAAAATAAAAAGTCTCTAGCCCCCCCCCGGTGAGGAGAGAGGATGATCAAATCATCAAACACTAAAAGCGCCACAAAACAGTGGGCTTATTAAGGACAATCATAAAAAGACAATATATTAACATAATCTTATGGCATTTGGTAAACTTAAAATTTGGTGGAAAATCAATTCCAGAGGTGGCGCACCTGTTTCCAAGCACATGCCCTGGGCAGCAGATGAAGTGAAAAGGCAGAGTCACAGGGAATATCAGGCCCAGTTACAGACAAAAGGTGGAAACGCTTTCTGATCAATCTGTTCAGTCACTTTAATAACAGAGTTTCAGTGTGAAAGAAAACAGCACAGAGATTCATATCAAGGATAAAGGAGAACTAAATAGGATTCAGTAACATAGTAAAAAGGATCAGACTATGCCTCTTTAAAAAGAAATTCTTGTTTCTTAGAGAAGGAATGGACTTTAGGATATAATTATTTAGTGTATAATTATTGGAAGGGAGAATGTTGGTGATGCCACAACATAAAAATTACCTTAAACAGAGAACTTCCATATATTCCTAAAAGTTTGTGTACTACAGATGTCCTAAAAAGCAAGAGGAAAGGGGCCGGCCCCATGGCTCAGCGGTTAAGTGCGCACACTCTGCTGCTGGCAGCCCGGGTTCGGATCCCGGGCACGCACTGATGCACTGCTTCTCCGGCCATGCTGAGGCCACGTCCCACATACAGCAACTAGAAGGATGTGCAACTGTGACATACAACTACCTACTGGGGCTTTGGGGAAAACAAACAAACAAACAAAAAAAAAAACGAGGAAAGAGGAGGATAGTTTTAAATGTTTTAGTTTGTTCTGGCATTTTTTTTTAATGCAAAGTCCTCTGAGACTCACGTGCTAGTGTTAGGTGTGTGTTTGCCTGAGTAGCGCTCACTGGTAGTATCTTCTCCTGTTGAGATGAGCCCTCTGTCTGACAGAGGCTTCCATTCTAGTCCCCATATGCTAGAGATATGTTTATTCTTGCCTTTCTATTCTTTTTTAATGTGTAGTCTTCAACCTTTCTCCTGCCTGCTTAGCTCTTTGTTTGGTTCCTGGGACTCCACACACAACCTCCCCTAGTCTTCACTACTACCAGAAAACCCGTTTTCCTAAAACACTGTTCTTCATCTCACCCTCCCCGCTCAGCAGTTGGCTTTGGGCCCACGTACTGTCTATTCCAGAATCCCCGCTCTCCTGTCTACCTTTTTTTGTGTGTGTGTGAGGAGATCAGCCCTGTGCTAACGTCCGCCAATCCTCCTCTTTTTTTGCTGAGGAAGGCGGCCCTGGGCTAACATCTGTGCCCATCTTCCTCCACTTTATATGGGACGCCGCCACAGCA